GTGGAAGGCAAGGATGTGTCCTTTTTATTCATTGCATCCCCAGCACCTACCAGCTCACTCAAATATTTATTGAATGGTGATGACAGGAATGTATGCTAGACCTTAAGTTAAAATGGACTCAGCCCAGCCGGCATGGCTCAGTGGTTGAGTGTCGCCCTATGAACCAGGAGGTCACGGTTCAATTCCCGGTCAGGGCATATGCCTGGGTTGTGGGCTTGATCCCCAGTGTGGGAATGCAGGAGGCAGCCGATCGATGATTTTCTCTCATCATTGATGTTTTCATCTCTCTCTCTCTCCCTCCCCATTTCTCTCTGAAACAAATTTTAAAATATATACATATAATGCAGCTCAAAGGTCACCATGCAAAAATAAGTTACTGGAGAAAGGAGCATGGAGTACCTTGCCACTGGATAGCTAGAAATGAATCAACATCCAAGGACCAAAACCAAAACAAAACCAACCAACCGAACACACAACAGGGACAACAGGCAGGAAACAGATTGTACCTGATAGCCAGAGACTATTTCAGAGCTTGTTTCAGCAGGTACATGTCCTATTATTAAAGACTGAACCCTTTCACTTCTTGTCTTCTTGATGTAGCCAAATATGAATTGGGGATATGTACAGAGAACTGGGGGAGGGAAGCTCCTAAACTTGAAGGTTGATCAGTAGGATTTCTGGACAGATAAGTGGTGATGGTTCAATGAATTCACATGCAGGAAGCACTTAAGTGGCACATAATAGGTGCCACTTAATGGACTGAAATGGCAAAGATGTGTTGGCAGTGATGGTAAGCACTTTCCAGAAGCTTTGGTTCTGTGATCATGAGTTAAGGATACAACACTTCCTGTCCCCATGGACCAATTCACATATTCATTTGAGTCAGACATCTTCTGTTACACCTATTCTGTGCTTCTCTTAAGACTCGAGAGAAACATTCAAGCAGATTCATCACAATGTAGGAATACTTCAACGGAAAACATGAATCTCTGTGTCTGCGTGAGGGTTACTGTTCCTCAGCTCCGTAGGGACCTGGGAAAAGGCTCAAGGGGTTATGACCAGTGTCTTCAGTCATCACATGGCACACAGAATATTGTCCCTCTCCCCAGGATGTTTCTATCCTAATCCTCAGAACCTGGGAATATGTTGTATTACATGGCAAGAAGGAATTAATGTTGCTGATGAACTTCAAATAGGGATATGTTCCTGAGTTATCCAGGTGGGCCCAGTGTAATCACAGGGGTCCTTACAAGTAGAGGAGAGAGGCAGAAGTGCCACAGTAATGTGATGTGAAAAATATTGTTCTGGCCATTGATGACTCTGAAAATGGAAGGGGCCATGAGCCAAGGAATGCAGGCAGCTTCTAGAAGCTGGAAAATGCAAGAAAACGGATTCTCCCCCTAGAGCCTTCATGTAGGGATGCAGCCCTGCCAACACCTTTATTTTAGCCCAGTAAAGGGCCATTTTGGACTTCTGGCCTCCAGAACTGTAAAACAATAAATCTGTATTGTTTTAAGCCACTAAATAAGAAACTAATACACACCTATTGAACATCTTTCATCTATCCTTAATCCCTGAAACAAGTAGAAAAAGAAAAAACGCTTCAGTTTTGTTAATGTTGATTTGTGGTTAGGCTAGTAAGTGGTATCTTGCCAGCCTCTGTCCAGTGGAACAGGATTCCAGACAAGAAAGACTGGTTATATCCTCAAGTTACGTAATGAGTCAGGTCCTGCCACAGGCATAGCAGATAACAGGTTTTCTTTGAACCTGGAAATTTTACAGTGATAAGTTCGTAACCAGTTGAAAAGGTCCCTGTGGAAAGGGTAAGTATCCCCATTCCTTCAGGTATGGATTCATTCATTCTTTGAAAATGGAAGGTTACCTATGAAATATTTTAGGTCCAAACAGTGCTTTTATTAATATAGTACAGCAATCAGGCAAATCAATTCCTTTCCCCACCCCCAAGAAAGATAATGAAGGTAAGGAGATTAAACGTTGCTTATAGGAAACAATACAAGCCAGCCCTACTCTGAACATTTCTTCTCATGTTTCCCACATTTGGTCAACGCAGCTGATACTCAGCTAATGTGGGTTTTCTAGAATATAAACGATGGCAGTTCACAAGGGCCAAAAGTACAGATCAATTAGTGCCTACAGATATTTATGCCTTTAATCATATTTTCCAATTTTACTGGTCATTTATTGGCTTTTACCTGGTACTTGATGGTTTAAAGAATTTGATCACAAGATATACTTTGGTGCTTATGAACTGTCACACTTGGTTTGAAAAGCATCTCCATGGAAGTCTTTTTTAAATGTAATAGCTCCTACTGAATACCTAGAGAAGAAGTTTAAACATTCAACTTCAGTAGCCCATGGGGACTCTGTGTGTAAACATTCTTGATAGTGTACCCTTTTATCTCGGGTGTTGTATTTATTAACAAAGGCTATTTCTCTTTGGGGCAAATGTCAGAGTTCTTAAACATGAGTTTTGTTATGCCTTACAACTGATTGTTTTGCCCTTGAAAACATCTCTGCGGTATCATAAAAGTTGAGAACAAACCAGTCACTGTGACTCTAAATACAACTTGTCAGGAATGTTTTTGATCTGTGAGGCAGAGCCAGGTAATATGGTCTGTGAATAACAGGTGTTCTCTTCTTAAATTAATTCTTTTGCTGACCACAGGCCTGGCTTTATTGCTTCTAGAGCATGGGTGGGGAACCTTTTTTCTGCCAAGGGCCATTTGGATATTTATAACATCATTCTCTGGCCATACAAAATTATCAACTTAAAAATTAGCCTGCTATATTAGGTCAAACATTTCACTAACTCACCCCTAATGCCTTGGCAGGGCCAGGCCAAATGATTTCTCGGGCCTTATACTGCCCGTGGGCCAGACGTTCCCCACCCCTGCTCCAGAGTCTGGGTTAATGTTAGAACTGTTGTTACTCCAAAGAGCTAGACCTCACCAGACGGAGTTAATTTGGCTAGTGGAGGGCCTGAGCGCAATTCTCAGAACATGGGCCGGGTGTGTGTGTGTATGGGGTCGGGGTGGGGGATCTGCCTTGATTATTGACATTTGGGATCCTGATTTAGTGCCTCCACCCCCATCTGTCAGCTTCCAGCTGATCAAATGAGCTTTTTCCCAAAGCTGCAAAAGTGGTTGAAATGGCCACGCCCCCATGTTGCCAAGCAGGTAAACAGCATTCATTCCATCAGGTGTAAGGAAGGTGGGTGGAGCCTGAGATTCTGGATCATGAGATGTGAAACTGGCCATGGATGTTATCAGTTGTGAAGGCCCCAGGCGACCTCTCCAGCATCCACTCCGTGAGAGGTAAGCACTTTCTCACGGTCACTGAGTGACCGCCTCATCGCTGGAGAAGCCTCGGGACAATGCCGGCTGCCTCATCGATTTAGAGACCTTTCCAGGCAAAGGAGACTTCAGAAGCCATTCCCTCCAACCCTTCATTCTACAAAAGCGGACACTGAGGTCAGAGAAGTGGTTTGGCCAAGGCCACCAAACAAGTTGGCAGGGGAGCCTAAAGCCAAAGTCCCAACCGGGGTCCCCACATGACCTCGTCCCCAGGCGGGTCTGTTCATAACTAGCGTTTAAGTCAGGTGCGCACCCTCTGGCAACTCCTTGACTCTGCCCAGTGCTGCCCAGCGCAGAGGCCCGGCCTTCAGTGCTGGGGACACAGCTGGGCAGAGCTGGGCCAGCTGTGACGCCTGGATTTTTGCACACATTTGAGAAACAAGCAAAAATGCAATTCTGTATCCCTTTATTTAGAAACAGGTGGGGAATGCTGTGTTCCGTTTGGGAGCAGGAGTGGACTGGGAGCGGGAGCGAAGGGGTTGGGGGAGGTTTGAGGGCTGATTCCAGTAGTTTGCATGATTCAGCACCAGAGCAAATGCTTGGGCATAAGGTCAGCCTTGAACCCACGTAGTCATCGTCATCTTGTCTAATATGTACAGCATAGTCTACAGTATGTATGCTCCTTATGGCTTTGTCCCGGAACACATTGCTATGACGCAACAAAAATCTCAAGTCTCAAGAGGAGAAGGTGCAAACGCTTTATGAGTTTATGGCCGAGACTGGTGCCAAACGGGTCCCCGAGGCACAGGAATGCCTCTGCTCTGTTGGGGCTCATCTGACTCAGCTGCGTCTGCTTCTCCATCTTGTGTCTTGCCCTAGGGTTCGGCTGGGTGCGCAGATGAGGCCTGAAGATGGAGAAAAAGCAAACCCGCGCGCGCTTTCTGTCCCTCCTTCCAGGGATGGCTGGACTGACAGGAACTACGCGGCCTAAGGCGTGGAGCAAGATTGCAAGCCCGCAGCTGGGTCTCTTCCCCACCGAGCAGGTCAGAAGGTAGAACTTCAGTCTCGGGTTGATTCCCTTTACCTTTGTAAGGCCCTGGTACACGGGAGCTGGCTTCCCACAGACAGCCATTCGCGGTGACCCCGGCATTACAAGCCCCCCGTGTGTTTAGCTGGTGGAAGGGTGAACATCTGATTTCAGGGTTCCCAGGAGGAGGGTGTAGTGGCTAATGGAGAATTCCTGACATGGGGAGGCAAGGGGGCTGGGGTACCCATTGACTTTGGGTGTCCATGAAAGAAAGCCTACTTTCTCCACCTGTTAGGGGGTGTGTAACACTTGACAGTGAGTGGAGAGGAACTACTCTCCCATCCTCACCCTCCTTCACTGAACCTGTCCCCTTCCACAACCCCAAGTGGTGTGCTCTTGTCCTCTGTCCGAAGCATCCTTCCCTTTCCGGAGCAAAAGAATCCTTCCTTGCCCTGACTGGTTTGGCTCAGTGGATAGAGCGTCGGCCTGCGGACTGAAGGGTCCCAGGTTCGATTCCAGTCAAGGGCATGTACCTTGGTTGCAGGCACATCCCCAGTGGGAGATGTGCAGGAGGCAGCTGATCGATGTTTCTCTCTCATCGATGTTTCTAACTCTATCCCTCTCCCTTCCTCTCTGTAAAAAATCAATAAAATATATTAAAAAAAAAGAATCCTTCCTTGCTTTTGGTCATTTCTGCCGACCTCCCCAAGCTTGCATCATGCTTTGGACATCCCTCACTGCAGCCCCCGCTCACAGTTGGCCATTGCTGTTGACTGACTGGCCCAAACAGAACCACCCCTTCTTGTCCAGGAAAGGGGGAGAGGCTGAGAGAAACTGATGGTTGCAAAGCATCAACTGTTAGATTTCAGAATCCCTGCCCCCCATCCCTTCTCAGTAGTCTTGTCACCTTAGGAAGTGTTGTTAGCGATCAGGAGAGGGACATTCGTTGAGATTTAGAACCCACTTGGGGGTCATTTTGGCCCATCTCTGGAATATCTCAAGCATGGGGCATTTCCCGTAATTGGCAGCTATGATGGCACTGAATCTGAGTCACGTAAGTGGCACCTGTTCGTAGGGGATATGAGGCCTGCAAACTTCTAATCAGCCCGATACATCAACCCCACACTATGTGCTCCAGAGCAGGATTCGGGTAAAAGTGAGTCTATCTGCCCTGGGCCTCTCTCCAGGCACCTCTTTTCTCTTCCCCTGTTTCTCACCACCTTGTCTCGCCTCGCTCGTCTTCTCTTCCTGGCTGTGAGTGTCGCCCAACTGAAGCAGTAAGCACGCGTGCCCAGTTTGCCCTGAGTGCATCACTGAAGACAGAGACCTCCTCGGTCTCTAGGCCTTGACTGCAAAACGGAAATTTCTCCCCCCAGGCCATGGTCCTGACAGCTCTCTGTCCCACATGAGCGCTCGACAGAGTTCTTGGGGGAAAGGCCAAGAACAAGGAGGTTTCAAGCCAGCTTAGCTTCATGGTGAGCAGGGAGGTAGTTCAACCCCAACACAAGGGGGAAAGACATCCACCTTCCATCACTGCGTGCCCCCCTTGTCACCCACAAAGCCAGTCCCCAAGGCCTCTGAAGAGGGGTGTTTGTGTCACAAGATGCTGGGCTCTGCCTGCCAGTTGCTGGTTCAGGCCTCTGTCTCTGGCTTTACTGGGAGAGCCTGGCAATGCCTTTTCTACCCCAGCGTGTGGTTCTACGCCTGGACTCTACCTGCTCACTTCCTCTCTGGGATGTGGGGATAGTGACTTCAAATAACTCAGCAGGAATGCTTAGGGTCGGCATCCCGTTTGGCAAACCTAGGGCCAAGGGTGAGTACAATACTCCCTGGACCACTGAGATGCTGAGCTCAGAACTTAAGTTCCCACAATGCTCCGTGAAACTCTTTCAGAGCCTCCCTTCACTCCAAACTCTGATGGGAAGCCAAGAGAACAGCACCCGGATTTCCTGGCTGGTCCAGACATTTCTACAGGGCCCCAGGATGAACTGCTGTCGAAGTGCCCAAGTCACAAGGGAACCAGAGAGGCCTGGAGACCGAGGATTTCACGGGGGTTGTGAGAGTGAGAACAGGAGAGGAGTCTGTTCTCGGGTTGTATATGGTCTGCACCCTGGATGGCATGTTCGAGAACAGACACATGCAGGTAGCACCCCCTATTGGTATACTATGTAGTTTGGTACATCAAACTGTTACTTGAGGTCCATGAAACGGCTAACTGGTCAGAAATGGGGAAAGCCAAGGCAGAGCAGCTCCACTGGCCTTTCCGAGACAGAGTGTTGTTCTTTATTGCATTTCCCACAGATGATGGTGACAGGGAAAAGCAATGAAGTCAAAGCGATGGTGCGAAAGTACCACCAGGAGCACATCAGGCCGTCCGTGGCGCTCTCATTTCTGGGACAGGAAAGAACAGATGCATTACAACGCTGGGTCTCAGTGGCTAAACTGAGAAGGTTGGCATTTGCCTCGGACGCAACTGTCTCTATTGGGGACAGGTGAATTCTGGCAGAGCTGCGGTGGCAGGGGGCAACGTGCAGGGCCCTTAGGAACCGGAAGTAGCGGGTTGAGGGAACAGCCGCTTCCACACGTGGTGTACTTGGTGGGGGTAGGTGTAAAGACCAAAGCAGGACGCACCCCATGGGGTGCAAGTCTCCCGGGGTGCTCTGCATCGTTCCTTAGCAAGGTTAAAGTACAGCGATTCTACATGATGCTAATGAAGTTTATAGGTTGTCCAGCTGGAAACCTCCATGCAGGGCCCAGGTGTTGGGCTGAGTGGAGACTGAAGTCTCCAGACCTTCCCAGGTCCTCCCTGCTAAGCTGTAGCTCCTGCGACTCTTAACCCTTCAAACACCCACCACCCAGGCATCCCCAGTGTCCCCGCCCTCCTCCCCAGCCTGTGTGGTGTGGCTCCTGTGTCTGTCAGCAGCCTTTACTTCTCATCCTCATCCCCCTCGCTCAGGCTGCTGATGGAGGCTGAGGCAGCTTTGGGCGAGGAGGGGGGTGAGGTTTTGACCGGGAGCCAGGAGAAGGTGGGCGACGGGGAGCGGGAAGGGGACCGGCTCCTGGTGGGGCTGCTCACGGGGCTCTGCTTCGGGGACAGGGCCTGCAGCATCCGGCTACTCCTCTCCTGGAACATCTGCTTCTGCAGAGAAATTAGAGAGAAAGCATCTGTTAGTTACCTGAGATCACAGCGAAACAGCAAGGAAAGGCAGGAAGGAGAGCCCCCCAAACGTCTGCGCCCCCACATGGACTTGTACTCCAGGCCATGTTGGCCAAGACTCTCTAGGGAGGAGCTGCATGAAACTCAGGACCACGGAGCTGCTGACACATAAGGGCACCATCACTGCTGGTGCCTGGCACTGTCTCCTGCATGCCCTCTTCTCCTCCATCTACAAAATCTGAGTGGCTGTTATTTGCCAGGCGAACAGTAATGTCCTGGATCCCGGAAGGGTAGCAGGAAAGAAAACCCCAAATCCCTGTCCTCGTGGTTATTGTATAAGGAGGCATCACACACACAAAATCAACATAAGATGAAGGATGTCAGACGGAACCATCGTCTGAGAAAAAGAAATGGACAGAGGAAGGAAATAAAAAAAAAGAGAGAGGGATGTGAGCATGGAGACAAGTGGGGTGCAGTTGCAAATGGGGTGCTCAGGGGACGCCCCCCCCCGAGAAAGTGCTATTTGAACAAAGACCTGAAAGAGATGAGGGAGGAGGCCACATGCAGGGAAATTAGGAGGAAGTACAGTCCAGACAGAGAACCCCGAGAAGGGAGCATAGAGTTCACGTTCAAGAAGGAGCAAGGAGGCCATGGTGGCTGGAGTGGAGTCACGTGGCTGAGGAGGGGCATGGAAAGAAGGGCATGAGGGCGAGGTCGCCAGAAAAGTCCCAGCGAAGTGTGCTATGTAGGGTCTTGGTGGCCATGTGAGAATTTCAGCCTTTATGCTGAGGAAAAGAGAAACCTCTGGAGAGCGCCTTTACCTCTGCAGTTCTGAGCAAAAGAGTAACAAACTGCCCAGCCGGCGTGGCTCAGTGGTTGAGCATTGACCTATGAACCAGGAGGTCACAGTTCAATTCCCGTTCAGGGCACATACCTGGGTTGTGGGCTCGATCCCCAGTGTGGGGCATGCAGGAGGCAGCCGATCAATGATTCTCTCCCATCATTGATGTTTCTATCTCCCGTCCTCTCTGACATACGTAAAAATATATTTAAAAAATAATAATAACAAACTGACTTTGGGTTTAAACAGACCACTCTGCAGTGCTGGGAGCAGACCACAGCAAAGCAAGGGCAGGGGCCGGGAGAAGAGCCGGGAGCTGCTGCAAGGAGAACCTGACACTGCGATGGTGCCTTGGACCAGAGTGATGGCCAGGAGCTTGGCTGGAGTCCCGGTATGTTCTTTTTTATTGATTTAGAGATGGAGAGAGAGAGAGAGACAGAAACATCAATGATGAGAATCATTGATTGGCTGCTCCTGCACACCCCCTACTGGGGATCGAGCCTGCAACCCAGGCATGTGCCCTTGACTGGAATCGAACCTGGGATTCTTCAGTCCGCAGGCCGATGCTCTCTCCACTGAACCAAACCAGCCAGAGCCCGGTATGTTCTGTTCCCATGGTATTATTAAGGTGTCCTTTACTTAAAGTAACACCTTTTAGCATGCAGTTCTGTGAGTTTCGATAAATGCCTATAGTTGTGTGATCACCACTACAAACAAATTCTAGGAATGTCCCATCAGCCCTCAGTTCCCTCAGGACCCTTTCTAGTCACCCCCTCCTCAGCCTCTGGCAACAGATCTGGCTTCTGTTCTGCAGTTTTGAAATATCACTGAAATGGAAGCGTGCAGTATGTGGTCTGGCTACATGTTGAGGGCAGAACCAGCAGGACTCGAGACAGATGGGCTGTGGGACGTGGGAGGAAGAGGCATCAAGCGACTCCAGTTTCCAGCCTGTGAAACTGGAAAGCCAGCGATGCCATTTGTTGGTGCGGGGTGGGTGGGGGCTGGGGGGGCGATGGGGGGAGGCTGTGGGGGTGCGGGAGGTTTGGATGGTAAGATGGGTTTTCCAGTCTGGGACCTCAGGTGCCTGCTGCCTGGTGCTTTTGGAACTGAGCCCTCCCCTGACACTGACTTTCTGGGGAGCCCCTGCGTGCCAGGCCGCCCCGAGCTGCCCATGGATCTAACCTTCTGCGCTTTGCCTGCAGCACACGCCCCCCAACCCCAACACACATGCCCTTGACCGGAATTGAACCTGGGACCTTTCAGTCTGCAGGCCAACGCTCTATCCACTGAGCCAATCTGGCTAGGGCTCCTACTAGGTTATTTTAGACTTTGCTTGTTGTGTGAGTGATTCATTTTACAAACCACTACTGAACCTCTGGGACCAGGGGCTGTGCGGGAGGTGGTCCCGTCTGAGCTGGGACTTCGGTGACGCACAGGAAGGGAGGTTAGGCGTGGAGGGAGCCCGTGGGCTGCTGGAGGGCTCACTGGCCAAGCAGAGGGAGCTAAGTGGAAAGTACTCAATACGATGGCTTGGCGTGGCCAGAAGCCTGCGTGCATGTGCGTGTGTGTGCACGTGGCTGGAGCACCAGGAGGAGGTGGGATTTTTCCCCCAAAAAAAGCCCCTGGAAGATTTTAATCAAGGGAGGGGTATGATCAGATTGGTGTTTTAGAAATATCTTTGGGTGTGAGCATAAAAGGAAGGAAAGAAACCATACAGGAAAGGAACTAATGTTTGGCTGTAGTAACATTTCTGAACCTCCAAAAAGCCACCGTGAAATAGATAAAAAGCAAAAGAAAAAACTGGAATTTTTTTTTGCACCATTTAACTACAAATTATGAATCTTAGTATAGGAACAAAGCTTAAACATAAAAAAAGAAGGTAAAAACTTTCACAGAAAAATGAGCATATGGCATATACAGGCAATTCACAGAAGACTTAAAAATGAACCGTAAAAAATGTTCGGCATCACGAGTAAACAAACAAATGCAAAATGACTGAAGTGAGATTTCTTTTTATATATCAGACTTAAAGTTTTTTTAAGCCTCCCAACTTAAAACAATTGTTTCCCAGATGTAGTTGACAGATGGCGCTTCAGAAGCTTAAGGCATACAGTTCTGTGTTGTAGCATCTTTGGGGGTTAGCATGCTCTGACTTCTTCATCATGTTCTTACGTGTAATTCCTACAAGTCTTTCTCTTGTGGTTACCGTGAGGCTTACATAGAATATCTTAACATTATAACACCCTGTTTTGAACTTTATGCTTTCACTTCTCCTCGTTATTGATGTTATCGTTAACATATTTTTATTGTGTAAACAATAGCAGGTTATTGCATTTCTGGTTATTTTTACCACATTTGTTTTCTTTTAAATTCGAGTTGTAACTGAGTGATGTATCACCACTACCACATTACAGAATCTAAATTTGACTAAATATTTATTGTTACCAGTGAGCTTTATTCTACTTTCTCTTATTTTTTGGGGGGGTGGGGTGGAGGGTTGAGGGAGATGGAGGGGAGGATTCAGGGTTGTAATTTAAAATTGTTTACATTTTGTTTTTATCTATGGAGAGCTCAAAAACTGTGACTGCCCAACCGGCATGGCTCAGTGGTTGAGCGTCAACCTATGAACCAGTAGATCACGGTTCGATTCCCAGTCAGGATACATGCCTGGATTGTGGGCTCAATCTCCAGTGTGGGGCATGCAGGAGGCATCTAATCAATGATTTTCTCTCATCATTGATGTTTCTCTCCCTCCCTCTCCCTTCCTTTCTGAAGTAAATATATATATATATATTTTTTAAAAACTGTGGCTGAGGTCTATAGCTTTAAAGTTTGTAATCTAGGCTTATATGATACTAGAGGCCCAGTGCACGAAATTTCGTGCACGTGTAGGGTCCCTAGGCCTGGCCGGCAATCAGGGTCTTCCGGCTGCTAGCAAAACCTTCCTTCATTCCACACTGCCCACTGGTGGTCAGCACATGTCATAGCGAGTGATCGAACTCCTGGTTGAACTCCCAAGGGGACACTTTACATATTAGCTATATATATAGATAGATAGATTACCTAACTAATAGTCACTAGTGACACACCTGAGAAACTCAGGCCAAACAAAACCTAGCCTAGAGACTTGGATGACATTGTAGCCCATCCAACTCATTGATAAATCCTTAAAGCTTTAACCCTTCCCTCTTCCACCCGCCCCCCCGCCCCAATTTATAATGCCCTCTTTTTAAGAGAAGGATGGTGGAATTACTTTGCCTTGGAATTAATGGTATAAAGATGTACCTTCTCATATGAGTAATACTGATTTATCTCTATCCCTGGTCACTTTCTACCTAACAGTCTGCATCTCATTACTATTGCAGCAGTTTTGGCTCCCAAGAATAACCCTCTAAGGAGGATGATATGTATACCAGTGAGTCTAATACCAGGGCATTCATTCATATTTTTCTCAGCATATAACAGTTAAGTCATCCTTGAGTGTACTGTACTCCCCCCGCCCCCATCCTCCCCTCTGGCAACCATTAGCTTGTTTTCTTTTTAATTTTAATTTTTTTATTGATTTCAGAGAGGAAGGAAGGGAGAGAGAGATAGACATATCAATGATGAGAGAGATTCACTGATTGGCTGCCTCCTGCACACCCCCTACTGGGGATCGAGCCCACAACCTGGGCATGTGCCCTGACCTGGAATTGAACCGTGACCTCCTGGTTCATAGGTCGAAGCTCAACCACTGAGCCACGCCGGCCAGGCAACTTTCTTTATGGGTCGGTTTCTGTTTTATTGCTTTTAGATTCCACAAATAAGTGAGATCATACAGTATTTATCTTTCTCTAACTTATTTCATCCAGCAAATGTGGCAGCAGGACAGGCCCTAGGGCCTGCATGGTTTTTGTTGGTTACCTGAACTAGGCAAGACTGCACTGAATTCCATGACTAGATGGGGCCATGGGTTTTGTTGCGTAGATAGGGAGAGACGTGGGCGGTGCCCTCTGTTGAAGTGCCACTGTAGGCAGGGCTGTTGGATGGGCTATGCAGCTTCCTGTGTGTCTGATTAGGTTCCCTCTTGGGCAGGCTGAAGGCTGTGTTCAGAAATAGGCAGAACTATGAGTCAGTTTCCCTGCCTGCTCACAGTGGGAGA